AGCCACAACGTCGGATTTTTCTCCCTCTCTAAGTGTACTTGTACGAGTAGCTGTAACTAAATGAGCACATACATAGTTTTATCATAGTAATAAGCAATAAGAAATAAGCAATGAGCGATAAACAATCGGTAAGGTTATAATACGCCTGATGGAGGTATCCGCAACAAAAAGGAGTGACGAGGCGAGCAAGAAATCTAGTTCGAACCAATCAGAAGTGGAATACGCACAATTACATCAAGTGATACATCTGTCAGGGGAAAACGCGACCTCGGCAGCCCTAAGGCGCGAGCTGGAACCTCGTGATTTCTTCCTCGTACTGCTGCCGCTGGCGCCGCCGGCTGCTACTGCCCTCGGACTCGATGGACTCCTGATAGGCGGTGTTCAATGCCTGCTGATGGAAGTGGTACGCGAGCCACTCGCGGTGCTCCTTGGCCTCCTGCTTCTTGCGCCGCTTCTCCTCGTCTCGTGCCCGCTTCTCCTCGTCTCGTGCTCGCTTCTCCTCATCCCGTGCTCGCTTCTCCTCATCCCGTGCCTGCTTGTCCGATGACACGCGCTTCCCCGCGCCGCTGGCGAGCGCCAAGAATTTCGTGACCGCCCGCGTGCCGCGCAGCCCGCCGCCCGAGGGTGTGGACGGCCGGGCCCAGAGCGGGATGTCCGTGCCCGGGGGCGAGTGCGGCGGGCTCGACGGCACGAGCGAGACCGGCGAGGCCGTCGGCGTCGGCAGCATCGACTGGTGGTCCTTCGCCGAGAACGCGTGCGGCGAAGCGCCGTCGTCTAGCGTGGGCGCGCGCTGGGGTCGCGAGCGCAAGGTCGCGTCGTTGGGCTGCCTGCTCTCGAAAATGACGCCCAAGCCCGGCGCGGGCGACGCGGGTTCGGTCGGCAAGGACCTGATGGACGTAGTGGAAGAGCTCACCGGCGACGCGTTGTTCGCGACCTGGAAGGACGGTGTGCGGCTGAGGGGTGGCGTCGATAGTGAGGTGCTGCTGTGAGACTCGGAGGTTGCGAGGGATGAGGTGTCGCTGAGGTATCGCGGGCGAAAGTGAGGCAGGTGGAAGGACATCGAGGGCGGCGAGGGCGGGAGGTGGGCGCTTTCAAAGTAGCCCTCCAAAATATCATGCTCGGGCGACGGCTGGTCGGAGGCTGCAGGCATGGAAGGCACGGTCTGAGAGCGCTGGGGTCGGCGGTCGGAAGCAGAAATGAAAGACCTGCTCGGGTTCGGACCTGTCGGAGTGGAAAGATGCCGTGTGGATTCCGGAGGGGGGCGCTTGGCGGTGGCGGGAGAGAGAATGTCGGTCAATGCGACAATATCCTCTTCGGTAGCCATCGAAACAATGCTGCTTGATCGAACATGCGCCGTAACAGTTTGCTTGAGAGGTATCGCAGGAGTATCTGCCATAACGGGGCGGGCAGCATGCGGCAACCGAGGAGTCGACGGCTGCGAAGCATAGCGGAAGGTTTGTCGTCCGGGAGGCCGAGCGGGCAGGGTCGTCGGTCGGTGTCGGTCGATTGGCGCTCGGGGAGTCGGCGTCGCTTCGCGGTCTTCAGGCTGTGAGCCGGTCGTGGTTCTGCTGGAGCTGGCGCTTTCATTCGAGCGATGGCCAATACCAAAACAGCGTCTAGATTCTTCGAGGAGCATAGCAAGATTCGATTCTGACAGGATAGAATGCAGAGACACTAAATTAATTCGAGAGGCAGTGAGCGGGTATCGTCCATGCCAGCTATCACACTCGTTGCCTACCAGTACCGTTGGCATACTCCCTTCCAAGCCCCATGGCGTTTGCACCATCCGATGTCTGCATGTACGATGCATCCGACATACCACGAGGCCGTGTCGTAGTCCTTTGCTCGGAGGTGTGACCCCCAGGACCTGAGCCACTCCCGTTTGATTCGTGGTGTCGGCTTCCCCCAGATCCATCCTTGTCAGTCCGAGCTCGTCCAGCATTCGGTCGCTTTTGGCTATATGCCTGGATAGAGCATCGGTATCATTCTACGTAAGAAGGAATTGCCTCTCAGGGTAGCTCACCATTACCACGCGCAATGCTCTGTGATAAGGGCCAGTCCGTCAGCTAATCGAACCAATAGAAGAGCTCAACCCACCTAATCTGTAGACTTCTGCAGTTGCACAACGTGGACACACCGTAGATGCCAACCGACGTTGCAAAAGTTAAAGTCCGATGCATGGCATGTTTGACCAACGATTGAAGATGTGGCAAGTCGTACGTACTCGATAGCAGTAGGAGCTGACTGAGCACAGCAGGCGCATGTTGCAAGGGAGTGATCAGCGCCATGGAGTACAGATATTGCAAGAACGCGAGAGTGATGGGATACGGTTCGGAAAGGTTGAGCGCCCGCGCCATAAGGCGTGGGTCAGGACGTTGTTCGCCCTTGTCGGAAGCCGCATGGACCTCCGGAAGTGGTGTCTCTGCAGGCATCGACGGCACAGTTTCCATAGCGCGTACGGCAGCCTGGAGAAACTGTTGCCGTTGCTTCTTGAACCAAGGCCAGCGGCTTTCAAGCAATTTGCGCGAGCATTTGATCTTGCGGCCATCGTCACAAATGACCTCGAAATCGGCAAGAACACCCTCCTCTAGTGCAGCAAGACCAAGCTCCTGCTGAGGGATATCGATCACTAGCGGTGGGGGCTGGTAAATGCCAAATGCCTCCAGGTCGATGACGATTACGTGATCCCAGCTAAGTAGGCGGCGGTTGTAGTCTTCGACGAGGTTGCCGTGGCGATTCCCGAACACTAGGTATTTGTTCGCCTCTGTCCAGAGGCAGCTACGGAACCAGGACCCGCTCGTGCCTGAAAGTGTGCTCCCCGGGTCTATCCGTGACCAGGTCATCGCGACAAGGTCTAGTGCCCAGATGGAGAATGATTGGAAGCTCTGCGAGAGGTAGGTTCCCGCGACGATGAAGTGCGTGCCGAGAATGGCACCCGTCGGGAAACGTAGTCCGGGAGGGAAGAATTGGCCGGTCATTGCCGACGAGCGATCTGACACAGTAAAGTCGTTGTTCGGCAAGGGCGCCAGAACTTCCAGCTCTCGCTGTACATCTGTGAACTGTACGAAATGTATGTCAGAAGAGCTGTCATCAGAAATATCAGAGACGCTTACGTTATAGTTGCTGAACAGAAAGACGTCGCAAGGGAATTCAATCGTTGGATCAGTAGAGTACGGAAGATGGACAAAAGAGCCTGGCTGGGTCACGTCCGGACTCGGCTGGGCATTCGTGTGGGTATTGAATCGCACGCCCGGAGGTCCAAGATGGGCAGTATTCTGACGTTCCTCCTGTGGCAGGCGGACACGCCTGTCAGCCGTCACGGCAACAGAACGGTAGGTGCCGCAATGTCGTGGGTAATCTCGCCGGGTAATCCAGTCTCCGAGTGACAAATCGTATACATGGACGTCATCAAGCCAGACGTTATTGAGATCCTGGCCGCCAATGATGAACAACTTGTGTGCGCTGACAGAAGATAGGTGGGCGTAGCGCGCTTTGGGCACAGGGGAGGACGAAGGGTATTCTTTGGAGGGAACCCAGCGGTGGGTAGCGAGGTTGAAGAGCCGGACGTCGTTGAGGACACAGAGGTCCTCCGGGTTGTCGGACTGAAGGCTGATGGCCATTCCCCCAAAAATGATGAGGTGGTTGTTCCCTGCAAAGAATCAATATCAGCTGAAAAATGGCGGCGAAGATACACGGGATTTGCGGACGGTGGAGAAAACCACGCGGCGTCGCGAGAGAATTGATGTGTCACACGACGAAGCATGGACAGCCCTGAAGCAAACGAGCAAGGGGACAGCTAAATCAAAGTACGCACATGTATCTGCGCTATGAAAATAGCGTGCCTGAGGGACGTGATCATCCGGTGGTTGAGCAATCTTCTCCCAACGCAAGGTCTCAAAGTCGAATACATAAATGTCAGAAACCATCTTGCGTTCTGCCACGAGACGACCGCCCTGTAGCAGTGCATAAGCTGGCCGAAAGAAGTGAAAACGGAAAGATACACACGTAAAGATACATCTTGGAGCCCACCACGGTGGTCGAAGCCCCCTTGCCCGGACAAGATACGTGAGCAGATTACGCGTGGGTACGTCTGAGGCATACTCACGACGAGTTTGGGAGGGACATCTCCCGAAGTCCTGCGGCAGAAGGCGGTGAGGTCGGCTATGGGGTACATAGTGCACCACTCTCGACGATAGCGACGGCGACGAGAGGGCGAAGGAGGACGAACGACTCAGGAAAGGATGAGGTCCGGGCTAGAAGAGTGGTAACGGCCAAGGCAAGCAGTCGGCAAACACTTCTCGCGGAAGCGCATCTAATCTCTCTAATCATAAAACTCCTTATCATGGAATTTTATTTACAATTATTTGGCCCTAATTCCTGAACTAGACCGGAAGAGGCAACCGGCTAAGAACAGTCACGGTTATCCCACCACAACACACGGTGTATAGGCATGCTCAATTCTCGCGGGCTGGCTTCACATTGCTACACCTCGCCGCACTTCGCTTGTCTCGCTTGGATGACGAGTTGTCCCACAGAATCATGTGGCACGTGTGACGGCTGGGTTCTAAAAGGTCGGGTGAGTGTCCCACCCCTCCCGCCACCGTTTCCTTAGTTAGGTAGCTTGTTTAAGCCGTGCAAACAATATTATTGGGTGCTCGGCAGCATTAACATCATATTAGACTCATTTTATACGCTGTAACACTTCATCGAGACTTCCATGAAGACGAAGAGCTCTGAGAAGACAACAGAGACAATGCCGCGCTTGAAGAGCTTGCAGCCGTGCAGCTCCAACAACATGGGTTGACCATGATGATCTTAGCGGTGCAGTTGTTTGGATACTGTCCTCATGGTCCAGATTTGAAAGTGGCTGCAGTACCTTCAAGCTGCACCACACGAACTGACCTAGAGATAGTTTACTGAAACGCGCTGTGCAAACTCCTAGCTGAGGTAACTCATTACCCTAGTGGGACAACCAAGGTTTGAAGCGAGCCCAGAAGCCCCAGGAGTAGAACATACCAACGCCATTTCCTCCGACCATCGCCAGCAACCTGCAAGGTGTCCCACCAGGATCTTGGTGCAAGCGACGTCTGTGCCTATCTGTGACACATGAACGTCTCGGTCAGTTCGAAATTATCGAGTTCTTCACACAGATAACGCCCATGTGCGTCGGTACCCGAATGACAGGGCATAGCCTCTAAGGCCTAAGGAACCAACACATGTCCCAGCTCAATATTCAAATATACATCCTGATCCAATATACCGGACTCGACCTTACATCACATACATCTCCTCGCACGCCGAGCATGCTCAAGGTTATCTGTTCAAATCTCAGGGAGTTGCCTAGAGCTGTCGAGACTTGAGACGATGTCTCAGAACACGTTAGGCTATTTGAATATTGGCCCTTGTTGCGTGACTCACTTCTCGTGAGCTCTCGGTCAGAAATGCCGGCTATGTAGCTTCTAGACTCGGCCACTGAGCTCATCTCAGCCTCATTACGGCCTCTGCCACAGCCAATGAGCGGTGAATTGCCCGATCGGTGTACTTGAAGGTCTTGTAAGACCTTAATAATACCCACCCTGCGAGATCGCATCAGGCAAAGATGCAAGTACTATACCACCACGCTAACTGTGTCAGTGCCTTACGCCGTCAACGGTACAACTCGCTATGTGAGCGTGCCCCAATGCCGCGAAGTGACTGAGGATTGACGAACCTGGTGCCTGATGAAGCATTACTGGTTACTCCCGAGGCAAATTAAAGCTCAGAGCGGCCACTCAAAGTGCTGAGGAATTTCGGACGGGCCAGAAACCCTTGCACAAACCCAGCTCTTTTGAAGTCCAGGAGCTGAACTGCGGCGGGAAATCGTGAAAGCTGTTAAGTTCTTGTGTTGGTCGTGGATGCTGGTCGGAAGCTGGTCAACGAAATCTCCTGTACTACGAGCGGTATCTGCCTATCAGAAATGACACTCACGGGTCCACGTAAAAACTGCGTTCAAACCACAAGAAGATGTACATGCGCTGCTATGCGCTGGGTGAGGTTCGGCAATTTAATGAAGGGCCGAGAACATGATGTAAAGCCGTTGTGGCGTCCGATGGCAAAGATTTGCTAAATGGAGTCATAGCTCACACTTCATGTTTTCACCGCATTCTCTGCGACTGACCAAGTCCTTTCCTACCGCCGCACCAATCCCCCGTCTTATTCTTCCCCTCGCCCACATCCTCCGAGCCCGGAGGCCTTCCAGCATGGACGTCGTCATTCCCGCGCCCGGCCAGCTCAAGGTCCTGAGCCATCACCAGTACGACCCGAAAGAGTCTATCTCCCCGAGCACAGTCTCGCCGAATCCGTTTGAGCAGTTCCGCACGTGGATGACTGAGGTGCGCGAGCAGGTGCTCGAGCCTGAAGCGATGTCGCTCTCGACCGCGAACAAGGCCGGCGTGCCCTCGAGCCGCTTCGTGCTCTTCAAGCAGCTCGACAGCCGGGGCTTCGTCTTCTATACGAACTACACCTCGCGCAAGTCTCGCGAGCTCCTCGAGAACCCGTATGCTGCACTTGCGTTCTACTGGAAAGAGGTCCACAGGCAGGTCCGCGTCGTCGGCCGTGTCGAGAAGCTTACCCATGAGGAGAGCGAAGAGTACTACCAGAGCCGTCCGCTAGGGAGCAGGCTTGGGGCGTGGACGAGCCCGCAGAGCTCAGTGGTAGAAGAGGGGGAGCTGTCGAGGAGGCTAGACGAAGTCAAGACCAAGTTTGCCATTGATGAAAGTGCCAAGGAGGCGGAGGTGCCGCTTCCTGATTTCTGGGGCGGTTGGCGGGTAGTTCCTGAGTACGCCTGCATCTATCTTACATGACGGTTCCTATCACTGAAATTTTACTAGCGAAATCGAGTTCTGGATGGGAAAGCCATCTCGCTTACACGACCGTGTGCGTTACTTACGAGTAGAAGGTTCCTCGGACAACAGCCCGCAGTGGAAGATTGAGCGGCTGGCACCCTAGCATGGTCCTATTGTCATAGAACCCAAGTCCAATCAGAACTGTACAACAACAATCCTTCTGGACGTCCTATCTACGACAAATAAATACCCGGAGATTTATAGAGTACATATTACATCAAGAAGGGTCATCCTTGTTCACAGGAAACATTACTGCGTCGAAAATATGGAGAAAAACTTAGCAAATAAGAGTATTGATCCGGTACCAAAAGAAACGCAATCTATAGCCAGCTCATCCAGCTGCTCTCTGCAATATCGGCGCCCAGCGCCCCACCGGAGGCAGCAGCATAGTCGCCATTGTATCCCGTCCTCCCGGCGGCGGCGGACCACGACATGCCCCGGGCGCGGCCAGGAAGCTCTCCAGGGGCGCTATATGAGCGCACATCAGACTGTGCGTGCATGATCGCGCCGACGGGTCCGCGGATGCGTGTCAAGTGGAAGCCGGAAGGCAGGCAGGGATCTGCCGCCGTCGCTTGGTCCAAACAACGCCGGAGATGTGCGTGCGCGTGCTCGAACGGATCCGAGATGTTAGCGTCGGCGGCAGAGGAAAATTCGCCCGCCGGTGGGATAATGCGCCGTGCGAACTGGCAGATTTCATCTTGCATCTCGTCGTGCGCCGTCTGCACGCCGCCACGCCAGTTGACGTAATGCTCTCGACCCCGTGCGACAAGCTTGTCCAGGATATGCTGTGTATAGTGTGAGCGCATCATCCTGAAACGGATGAAGGGATGCGGCTCACCAGGTATGAAGCGACCTTCGGCACATGGTCGCTAACGTCCTTGAACAATGTCAATACCTTATCAAGCTCTTGCAGCGCACGGGGTGTGATGCCGAGGGACGGAGCGCGGGAGACGAGGAAGCACAGTGCACACTACCGCGAGCTTGTTAGTTAAAACCACCGGAAACCTGTGTGTAAACGCACGTACCGCGGCTGAGAAACAGTTTGACCAGAAGACCATAAAGCGCGTGCTTAGCGCCGGCTCCCACGAGTACAGGGCCTCCACAGACCAAATTAGTTTGCATGCGCTCGAGTAGACCGCTAGGACCGAGGGTGTATAGCGGTGCTTGACTGTGAAATCTTGCGACGAGGTCAGGGCCTGGGTGAAGTAGTTCCTGTGTAAATGCAATAGCGCTGTATAAATGAAAGGATAAATACGGACGCCGACAGGTAAACCGAGGGGTTTCTTACCTATCTCGCGAGTGCATGCGGTCATCGCCTGTTGCATTGCTTCGTTGGTCGTCACTCTGTCATTGTCGACCATCTGCAGCGTTGGCGGGACATCGAAATTCCGGACCCGGTTGTCAAGCCCGAGAATCTCGGTATAACTGGCCGGCTGCGTTGATGAGACACGATCCAAGACTGGGATCATGCAGTGCTCCAAAAAGCTGTACTGCCAATGATGATCTGCGGACGCGGAGATGAGACATAAAAGCGCCACGCAGCACCAGGAATAGACACTGACACTGTGCGTCTGGTGAGTCGCCATTGAACGCTGGTTGCTTGGCGTCTACATTGCGCAAACATATTGAGGGCGGGCGACGTAACATCAGGGCCTGAGTAATAGGGACGAGCTCCGGTGAGGAACCATCAAAAATAGAGGCGCAGGCTACGCCACTTGGGGCAAGGACTCACCAGTCGCGCGTCCGCGCCGACCAAATCCCAGAAGAGCGTTCGTCGTTTGTCTGACTCCTCGGGAATAAGCTTCGACCTAACGCCATCCCGATCTGAACGGGGCGCCAATGTGAGCAAACGTTGGCGGAGAGGAAGGATTCCGCCCGGACTACGTACGAATACCGATCTACGGAATACCGAATTAGGATAGTTGGGACGCTGGTACAGTATAAGGCCTCACCGAATATGCCAGCCTGGTCGCGAGGCCCTGCACATCCATTACGTTAGATGTGATAGCTGAAAATAAAAGGAGCCCTTGTACCGACCATAATTCCCCATGCGTACTCCAACGCCTTCTTATTGTCGGAAAATGTCAGGAGGTACCATTCCATGAAGAACTGCGCGAAGCACATTAACTTTGACCGGCCCGGTAATATCGGCACTGTCAGGCAGAACTCACCAGAGCATTGACGGCGTCCAGGCTGGTGTCGTCCATAAGAGGCACCTCGCACAATGCCGCTCGTGCGAGATTATGGTACATCTCGGCCTTGTGTCTATCCGGACCATGGCGAAGGTCGACCATCGTACCTATCGCGAGAACCATAAGGAAGAGCCCCAATCGATGGGGCAGCAGTGCAGATAGCGACGTGGTGTAGACGCTGTGTATAAGATTAGGAAGGAAAGTCTCGCTCGCGTCCGGTAGGTATCTTGTGAGCCCGAGGTCAGCTAATTGCGGCCGAATGTGCCCGGAACAGACGGAGGCAAGCACTCACTGCCAGAATGCATTCATCCGTGCCTGTTCACATAGGTGTTCGGCATCTTCCCGCCGCGGGAGCATGTCCCGGAGTCGCTGCCGCATGTCAAGGTCCAGCTCAAAACATATCGACCACGGCGAAGGGAACGAGCGAGCGAGTCTGGCCAATTCGGGCGAGACTTCTTGCTGTGTAGGCTGGTAATGACCGACCGGAGTGTTGGAGGTAGTGGCATACTGTAGAATAAGGCGGACTGAGCACCCGGCTCGGAGCTAGGAGTGGCATACAACGGTCCTTACCTCTTCCCCGTCCTTTGACGAAGCCGCGGGACTTGTATGGGTGTGATCCTCGATTCTACGTTCGGGAGTAGTATCGTGGACCATCATCTGTTGATCGATCCCGAACAATTCGGGCGACTTCTTGATGAGCAACAGCTCCTGCCGCAGGAGGGGATGCTCGGCGTGGGACAGCTTGGAATTCGTCGACCGCAGCGCATCCTCAAGCAGGTTTATGCGCTCGCTCATTGTCTTGATTTTATCGTGGAGTTGTTCGGTATTGGCGAGGATAAACCTTTGGGGCATGTCAACAGTGGAAGCGTGGGCTGACCGGGATAGACAGACCTGCTACCTTTCCCTCCTGTGAGAGCACCTTCAGGGCATATCTCCGCACACCCTCGCTTGCGACATGACTGGCAGGGGAAGACACGGTCGCACTGTAACGACGAGAGTAAGGCATCACATAGTGGCGCATCGGGCTTCGAACAATACCTTGAGCTTTAATCTGCCACGTACGTCGTGGTGAGCAAGGCGAATAGGATACACAAGGAGTGCAACGAACCTTCTACACTCGCCGCAAGACAGTGGCCTTTTCCTGCCCTTCCTTGCGCTCGCCTCGGCGTGGTCATCGACCTCCAAGTGGACTCCGGACGGACCGGACTGGGGGTTATACGGGCGGTGGCCATCGTCCCCTTCCTTGCGCTGTCTGGGACGTTTCAGAGGCCGTTGTTCTGAGCCAGCGAGGTCTACTTCGTACTTGACATAGTCCATCGCAGGGGAGATGGAGGGTGAGCAGGGGAAAGAGCTTGGACAAGGAAGTCAAGTCCGAGTCCGGAGATGTAATGTATACCTTGCCATTTTAGGGTTGTCTGTTTTCCATCAGCCGGCGGCTGACAGTCAAAGCGCCCGCGCCAGGGCCCAGCCAGCCACGCCGTAATTATCGCCAACTCCACCGCCAGCCTCGGGCGGTACTCCTCCTCAGCCATCCATGATTGGCCGGGCCCTCACTCGACCCCCGCGCGTGCCATCGCAGAGTCTCTCCCGAGCTGCCAGCCGTCGGCTCTCACACAACTCCTCAAAGCCTAGACACGACCCGCCCCAGGCGCACGAACCACCGGACCACCGCCGGTCCTGGTTCTGGACAGCACAGAGGCTCTCCAACTTTGTCGTCATTCCTGGTGCGCACTGTTCAATGTCTAATCCAGTACTACGCTTATTCCGCGCATGCTGCAGCCGCAATACTCTACTGCGTCTTCTTCGCAGACTATGGAGAGAGTGAGCATGTGTTCAGCCCGGTGAGTCGTCCATTCCAGTACGCGATGCGTCACCTTCTTACCTTCAGTCCATTGTACAGCCCAGAAGGTGGCTGCAACATCAACGTGATGCATTCTTTTCTTTGACCCCCGAGGAGCGCAAACTAGCAGATAAAAAGGATGATGAGCATGCCAGCACCACGCCAAGCTCATGAAGGTCATCCCCTTCGCCTCCTTCTGGACATATGCCCCGCTGTGCAAGACAGGTACCTCACTCCGACTGCTCACAAACACGCCAGTCTTGAATGAATCTGGCGCAGATCCTCGCACGGCTTAGGCAGTGTGGAATTGTGTTCTTTCTATCGGCTACAGCTGCTATCTCGGCCGTTAGACACTTCTTCTCGCCCACAGCTGTCTCCAGAAGTTCGTCGACTACATATAGCGAGGCTCACTAAAGTTTGGCCGTGCGTAAATTCATGCCTTTCTCCTCGACTGCCCGAGATGCGGTCTCAAACGGCCCCAGCAGCAGTCTCGATGACCTATTGCTGCCACGCTGGATGGATATATCCACAGCACTTCGAATGCCGATAGAAGCTAGTAAGTCATCTCCCTTCAAATAACATAGCATCTGTTTCAATCTAGCATGCAGCTGAGAACAAGGGGCTCAGCGGCGACTGGTGCCGCGCCAGACATTCGTATGCTTACGTGGGCATGCATCTGATTGGTCGAAAGCAAACGTGAGCGCTCCCAGTGCAACTCCCGGCCTACACGGTCCTTCCTAAAGCAGACATTCTCCTTCCTTATTGGCCCTGATTTTGGGCTTGGTTGCCATCTCAGAATCACAAAAGGGTCGAGTGTTTGAACGGCGGGCAGTGGACGATCACAGCCGCGTGCCATTCTGAACGCCGTCGTAACGCAAGCCTTGTGAGGACCCCTTTTAGCGTTGGAGCTGTGCGGTCGCAGTCGGACAGTGCTTCGGAACGAGACGGGGCGCTCGGATAATGAAGAGCAAAGGTGTATAAAAGGAGTCTCCGTTCGATCAACGGCCAAAACACATTCTACTCATTGTCTGCAAACATACCATGCTACGGACCGCATGCACCTCTGCCTTGAGGGCCCCGTCGCACCGTATCGTGCTCACGCCGCATGTTGCGACTCGGCTGCTCGTTGCCACCTACCCTCGTGCTTTCTCGACAGATACCGCGCTCCGAAACTCCTTATCCGCAAAGCCGGCGGATGCGAAAGCCGTGCAGGGCACGGAGGGTTTGCACAGAAGTACGTCCGTGTCCAGAATTGTCAGCAAGCTTACGAGCGCCATCCTTACGAACTATGTACAGAGGATTTGGTGCCAGAGCAGCGCAAGGCCGAGGAGAAGGTGTTGACCACCACAGACGTTGCGACTGAGCAGCCTCCAATTCACGGAGACTGGGTGCTCTTCCACCCTGTGTATTCCGATGGCGAGCTGAAAGCTGTCAAGGTACGTCGCGTTGTAAGCGCCACGTACAGCGTCGGCTGAGACTTATTCCCATAGGTCATTCATCGTGAACCGACTACTCTTCCAGACAAGATCGCGCGGACCCTCGTGACAACCACCAGGAGGTGCTTCGACTGGGTCTCTGGCTACAAGGAGAAGAGTGAACCTCCCGCATTGAACCTGTCGCTTGAGGAATTGCGAAAACAGGGCTATGCTATGACAGACCACCAATGGCTGCAGCGTATCCTATTCCTGGAAACTATTGCCGGTGTTCCCGGCATGGTTGCTGCGGTCCTTCGCCACCTTCGAAGTCTTCGTCTCATGGTACATCTGCTGCGTTCATGTGTGCACCCCTAATACTTATCATTTTGCGCACAGAGACGTGATGCCGGCTGGATCCACACATTGCTTGAGGAGGCCGAAAACGAGCGAATGCATCTCATGACGTTCATGACTATCCGGAAGCCATCGATCTTCTTCCGTGCGCTGGTGCTTGGCGCACAGGGCGTCTTCTACAACGCCTTTTGTGCGTATTCTTGTGTTAGGTCTCATGTAGGTATTCGCTGATGTCGTCTCTACCAGTCTTGTCGTATCTCATTTCACCACGGATTTGCCACCGATTCGTCGCATACCTCGAGGAGGAGGCTGTACACACATAGTAAGTACCTCACCCGTCATTCGCGGACAAATATAGCTCATACCGGCGTTAGCACGCGTTGCATTGCTGACCTCGAGAACGGCCGAATTCCTGAGTGGTCAGTTTTATTCAGTTGCGTAATGCTGTGAATCGCACTAACGTCACCTCAGGGAAAATTTCCCTGCCCCCGAGATTGCGAAGGACTATTGGCGGCTAAGACCTGATGCCAAGATGGTCGACGTCCTGTACGCCGTTCGGAGCGACGAGAGCACCCACCGGTTCGTCAACCATAGCTTGGCAAACCTTGATTACAAGTCGGATATCAACCCATTCGCGTTCCGTGAGCCCGACATGCACGTGAAGGGTACCAAGCTTGGGTACGTTGTGCGGTGTGCATTGGCTATGAATATAAGCTGACAGTCCTGTTCAAAGCTTCGAAAGAGAGGAAGCCGAGGAGTATGTCCAGGAGTCGCACAAGATGTTGGGAAGGCATTAAATCTCCACCCTCTTCTTGGATCTCCATCGGACAGTATCATCCATACCTTACGATCCGACCCAGCTCAGCAGGCCTCGCTTAATATCTATAGATGGTCCGGTTTCGTTGTATTATACACTATCTCCGATCCCTCCCTACTCATTTACAAAATGTGCTCTAACGTACAAACGCGATAAAGACGCAGCGTTCGGATTTGAATGCTGAGTTTTCACACGAGTGCGGCACCCGAACCTTATGGCGCTTGTTAACGTCGAGCCTGATGCGCCCTCCCGCCATCACATGGAACTTGTGGCTAAGGTGCCCCGAACCGCAATATTCGTCGACCGGGGCTACCTTAATCTCGTCCGCCACTCCAACAGACACCTCCCTCTCAACGCCGTCCTCGGCTCCGTTGCGAGCCATCTCGCCCGCGTCCAGTCGTCTGCTACACCGCTTGCCGCGATCGCCGTAAACAGCCCGCTCTTCCATGCATCTTCGTACTCGGACTTAGATGGGCTCTTCACTGCCTTCCGTCATGCTGTGCACCTTAAAGTTTATGTAGTCGATGGCGAGCCCTCAGGGTCGTTCTCAAGAGGCTTAATGACTCACGTCGCGAGATGGGTCGCCGATGGGGCTCGCAAGGCGAACATTTTGTCCTGAGGCTTGTGTACTACGCGGGTCCGCTTCATAGAATGGCCGGCAAAGACGCTGATCCTAAGCTGAAGCAAAGCCCCCCGAGATGTGGAGAGGCGGCTCGTCGTCGCGCTGGCCGAGGTTCACGTTGTTGAGTACGCCTCTTCGTCCTCTGAGTTATGGGAAACATAGCTTAGGTCAAAAGTGCGGCGAGAACGAGGTGAGTGTGCGCAAAGTAATCCCATATATGTCTTTTCTCAGTCGAGACTCTTCCTAGATGCTGTAATCACGACGACTGCGATTGCATCTCACACAATATCACTGGTAACCCCGCTTAGGCTGGGTGCACTTCCGTGCCTCGGCTCCATCCAGCGAGAAACTAGCTCGAGACGCGACCATACCCCAGGTTGAATGGTATGCTCTCCTCTCCTTATGTAGAGTGAGGTGCGCTAATGGTACACGCGACTATGCAGGCTGACTGGCGCCACGTAATGAGTGCTGTCAGAGCGTTTCAACAGCGGCAGGTCCTCGTTTGGCTCGCACATGGTCGAAGCTTGTAAGCCTTTTCTCATCTTACTGTTGCCAGCACGTGCATCGGCCGCATACTGACGACACGGCCAGCTGTCCGCAGCTCCAGCGATACGCGACAATCCGAATACACCGGATGAGCTCTCCGCTCAGCGCCCGGCATAGCCGACCGGTGCACGCCTTCTTTGGCCCGTGTTCCGACTCACATGCTTTAATGCGGGCCACATGTGCCCGTGATGTGAACTGCTGCTTGAATTGCCACGTCAACAGATATGCGTTCTCTGAAGGAAAAACTGGGCAGAGACGACGCCGAGGATGTCGCCAAGACCGCATCCGTAGGCCTAGAGAAGGCTTTCGACATATTCAAAGATGTTGCCAACAATCTTGGTATGTCACGTTTGCAGACGGGTGTTCCCACGACGATGCTGGGGATGGTCCGGGTGTGTATTGCAGACCGTCCCACCAGCGTTGATCCTCATTACAAAAACAGAGATCGCGTATGAACACGGAGAGCATCAATGACTTAGCCATGGAGGTCAAAGAGTTGGCAGAAATGGTGCAAGAGTGTACGGAACTCCACGACCAGGCTAGACTCGACCGATTATTTCTGTGAGTTTGCTGTTGATGGTATGATTATAGTATGTTACTCACATCACGTAGCTCTTGGAAGACAGTTAATGACGAAGCACAAGAACTCAAATTCCGGCAGACATTATCGACATTATCAAGCGATGAAGAGACAGAGAAGATCGCCGGTTTGGCCTAGAAATTATCCCGGTCGATTCAGAGTTTCATGGTACACAACGTTTTATGTCTTACGATGCCTTCACTTCGCTAATATGCCGTCTTGAACCGCAGCTTGAGGGCCTCGGCTCTGTCCTTGTTGTATCAAATACAAAAGAGACGACAGCGAATACGCACACAACCCATCCGACACTCTCCGAATTTTTGCTCGGCTCAATTCGAGGCAAAGACCATTATCTCGCTGTCGACCCACATCACCAGCACACACAACTACTCAGCGCGTGTCTCGAGGTGTTACAAGGACTCAAGCGCGATATCTGCAATATTCGTGACCCTTCTCTGCTCAATAGCGACGTTCCTGATCTGGATAAGCGCGTGAGGAGCGCAATTCCATGGTATCTGAAGTACGCCTGTCGACACTGGTGTGCCCATTTGTTGGGCGGAGAGCTGTTGGACGAAATCCTGGACGCGCTTTTGGAGTTCGCACAGGAGCGACTACTTCACTGGGTCGAGGCCTGCAGCCTACTTGGGGTGCTAATCGAAGCCATATCCGGCCTCAACAAGTCGCAACGCAAGCTCAGGGTGAGTACGATTCTCTCTCCTGTATTGCTTCAGTATCTCAGATCTTGAGTAGGCCCTCAGTGACGACAGAGCAAGGAAGATCACCGTTCTGTTGAACGACTGCGAACGGCTTATTATTGGCTACTACCCTGCTCTCAGTGGTTCGGCCTTGCAACTATATCATTCAGTCCTCTCATTTATCCCGGGACAGACTATGCTTGCGCGGACATACGCAAATGAGCAGCACGCAGGGAACTCTGTTAAGGCCTTCGGAGGAATGGCGGACACCTGGGACGCCTACTTGGCCACAGTCATCGCACACGAAGGCGGCCCAGTCAGCGCTGTCGACTTCTCACCGGATGGTAAGACAGTCGCTTCTGCAGGAGGAGATGATCACAATATACGGCTCTGGGATGCGGCTACGCTCACCCCGCTCTTAGTCCTTCACGGTCATTCCGACGACATTCTTGATATCGAGTATTCTCCAAACGGTGCTCACATCGTTTCGGCTGCTGAAGATGAAACAGTCAAGATTTGGGACGCTGTATCTGGCATGCTTATCAGCACCCTGGAAGGGCATACGAGTGGGGTCAACTGCGCAGTCTTCACGCACGATGGCAGGCGTGTCGTCTCCGGCTCTGACGATCATTCCATTAAGATCTGGGATGTCGAGATTGGAGCCTGTTTGTCGACCTTGACCATGCACCGGGACTGTGTTTTATCCATTGCTGTGTCTCCAGATGGCCTTTGGATGACATCAAGCTCAAAGGACTTAGTCTGCCTGTGGAGTCCAGAGGTGCCCCCACTCACCGTACATTGAAGCCCAAAGGCGAGGGCTCGCGTCATACTGCTGCCTTCACACCGGACAGCTCCGAGATTTTGATTGCTCCAATTGGCCCGGGGCGACTGTCCGTCTGGGACGTCAAGACCGCAGAGCACGTTCGCGACTTCCAGCCATTGGACCCACTATCCGTATCCATCCTCAGTCCCAGCTTCCTTCCGACAGAAGGCGAGTTCGTGTGTGGGTCGCAGAACGCTGTTCTTGTCCTGGACGTTGCTCGTGGCGGTGTTCGACATGCATTTACAGGTCACATCCGGTCTGTCAGTACCGTCGCTCACAATCGAGACGGGACTCGCATCGTGTCTGGCTCGTGGGATGGTACCCTCCGACTTTGGGATGTGGCGAAGCGTAGAGTGGACATGCCACAATCCGGAAACACCGACAAGGCACTCGGTTTGCTCGGCGAGGAACCGGTGAGCTACATTTGTGCCGTCTTCTCCCACGATGGGA